ATGGCAGTAAATGAAGGAATTTTTGCTGCGACCAAATTTAACAGAATTATGGCCCTTTGTTGATTTTTAGTTTTCAACTTTTGGCACATGTAGTCCAAAAATATTTGACCTAGAGTCATAAGATTGACAGAACAGTGGCGTGTGGGGGCATCCGTGTCCTATGGACACATTTCTAGTTTCACTATAAGTTCTTTATTTCTTAAGGTATTTTCTTCAAACTTTAAATATAAGTTGCTATACATCAACCACATCATATGTGACAAGGTTTACAACTCTAGGACAAACATTATCAGAATTACCTTCCTTGAACTTAAAATTTTCATGAAAAAAATATTGTTTTTTTAATAACTTCTTTTTTTCTGAATGTATCTACTTCAAACTTCATAATAATGTTTCTTATTATCAATCAACATTTGTGAGAAAGTTCAATACTCTAGCAAGACTATTTCCAGAATTATGCCCCTTTTGAACTTAGACTTTTTTTTGAGAAATTGGTAATTTTTACTCCAACTTCTTCAATCATGATAGGATTTTCTTCAAACTCCCACATCATAATAATAATTATGACAAGGTTTATAAATCTAGCATCCATATTTTCAGAATAATATCCTCCTTAAACTTTTAATTTTTCCTATTTGTTCTTTTAACTTTCATTTACTTCAAATTCAAAATAAACATTCATTATTCATACCTTCATTACTGATTGTTCTTTGTTACACTCTCATCATGTTTGACATCTTGCATCTTTATTTCAAGAGTTATCTCCTTTTTAAAAATTTTGCTTTTAAAAATGTTATATTTTGATAACAGGGATGTTTAAAAAATAACTTTAGAGTGTCCTTCAGTCCGTCTGTCTGTCTGTACATAAAAACTGTTTCCTGTGATCACTTATTAAGAACTTTTTCAACAAATTTACTTAAAATAGAAACATAAGTGAATGGCCAATGGCCCTTCAGAATGTTGCTTGGGTTCTAACCGGTAGGGGACTTATGGATTGCTTGCAATACTATGATAATTGCTTGTGTTTACAATTTTTTGGCAATGTTTCTGTCCATAACTGAGTGAATGGGTAAATATTTTTTGAAATATTGCTACTGACAAGAATCGAAGCCGGGGGCATTTGTGTTTAACAAACACGTTCTTGTTCTGTTAAAGCATTAGAAAGATGAAAAGGTTGTTGAATGTTAATGTTAATTCAAAACAGATTCAATCAGAATAGCACAAATTTGAGAGCTACATTGAAGTTGATTTCCCCATTCAATAATGGATTATTCCATTAATTTCGTAACACCATCAGAAAGGAGACTGTGTCATTTCCGAAATACAATGTAAAATATTTCGGTTCTTGACAATGACATGCACATTTTATTGTGTAAGATATTTCACAAAGAAACGAAAGTGAACAAAAAATGTTGTATTTTTTCACAAAAATTAGCGGATTAAGATAAAAGTTTAATTTACAGTACGGATATCATTTTTACATCATTCCGGTTTGCAGGAAAACTCATATATTTCAAGGTACCTTTTCAAGATGAATTTTTTCAATGAATGAAACTTTTATTTTAATTTATGAATGATTTCGATGAGACAAAATTTTGTACATCTATTCTACAGTAAGGACAGAGGCAAAGTGATGTTTTGGGATACGAACGTTGCGTATGCAAATGAGTACCAAAATATTTTGGTATGCAAATAAGGTGGTTCGAGGTTACAATATAAAATAAATATATAATATTTCATTCTTATAACAAACATACAATTCAAATCATTAAATAATGCATATCAATGAGTCCATTCAACAATTTTGCATCAGGTAACATCTGTATCAATCTGACCTCGAGTTGAGATTATAAATAGAACTAAACCGGGGAGCTAGTATGACAAAATAGCCGCCATGCACAAGAAAATTAAGAAATTTTGTAACATAAACTCGTATTTCATAACAAAGAAGTGAAGATGAATACAATTATCGGTGTGCTTCGTTGAAACAGGTATTTTGTTAACTACATGTATTTGTGAAATATTAAGGCATGACATTCAGTATTTATGTAAATATCAGCTCCCGTGTTATGATTTCTAAAATTATACATGTACACATGTGATATTGACCTCAATAAATGTAAGTGAAAATGGAACAATAATTATGGTAATTATCCATGGTGCTAGTAACACTTAATTATCTTTATCATATTGTTAACTAAGCAAGAATCTTACGTAATTTAAAAATAACCTAACCTCAAAAATTATTATCAATTTAAACTTGAATATCTACTCAAAATGTCTTCCCAAACAGTAATTTTTGAAACATGAAAATGATTCATGTAGAAAAATAACACAAGAAAAAACTGATTTGACTCATAAAAAGTTTGGCCCGTGAAATTCTGACCTTCCTGAGATCCCTACTGTTTGTTTGGTTGTTTTTTTTATAACATTTTACAAGATTTAATTTTACAAGTAAACCTGTGTATAGAGCCACTCATGTGAACAGAAAGAAGTTTTTGTAGAAATGGGTGTTCTAATATGATAAAACACAGATGCTTGGGGTCAGATCCTGCCCCAACATGATACCCCTGAGTAAACACTATCAAAAAATATTTTGATATTTAAAAACTAATGGGATATCTGTTACGACTATAATACTGGTTTCCGAAAAAAAATTACATATATGAAAAAAAAATACTGTTTACCATCATGTATTGGGACTTGATTCCGGGCAGGCAGGCAAATTGGTTGGGCCATTTTTCGTCACAGTTTTCTCAGCAACTACTCATCAGAGCCTCATGATATTTAGTATACAGCATTAACACGTTGTCCCATACCATGGGATTCGATTTCAGGTCTTCATAATTCATAATAATATTCATTATAATGGTCAATGGTAGGAATTTTTCGTAACAATTTTCTCAGCAACTACTTATTACAGCCTCTTGATATTTGGTATATAGCATTAACATGTAGTCACATACAATGGGATATGATTTCAGGTATGTGGCTCATCCACTTCACGTTTGCTGACTAATTTAAATTTTCGGCATTAATTGTAAATGAAAGGAAATTTCCGTAACAGTTTTCTCAGCAACTACACATCACAGCCTCTTGATATTTGATATTGTGACTGCATTAACACGTGGTCCCAAGTTCAGGTCTATCGCTTATCCACTTCCTGTTTACCGACTTAGTTAAATGATCGATATTAATGGTCAATGGTAGGAAATATTTGTAACATCACAGCCTCATGTTATTTGGTAAACAAATGCAACCCGGTCATTTTTGTCTTTGACCCATTTTTATTGAAATTGAAGTATTATCCAACTTTGTACTTCGTTTGTCATTGTTAAAATTTCATGATGTAAACACGCTACAGGGAGTGTATTTTTTAGCAACCTGTGCTATAAAAAAGAGGTATTTCTATACACTTGTTTGCATTCCTGTTGCTGTTGGCCAAACATACTTCACATTTGACACTAACCTTTAAATGACATAAAAGAATTTTATAAACCAGGTGCTTGTTTTTAAAAAGAAAAATACTTTTAAGATCTATTCCTTAAGATGAGTGATATAGGGCCATCATGGCCATCTTGTCATTTAATACATATAGTAAAAACTGAAAAATCTTCTTGTAAAAAAACCAAAAGAGCTAGAGCTTAGATATTTGGCATGAAACATCTTCTTGTGAGTGTCTACCAAGTTTGTTAAAAAAGCCCTAGGATAAAAAATTGGCCCGCACCGGGGGTCATTGATTTTCCCTATATCTATATAGAGAAAATTTTAACAAAATCTTCTTGTAAAAAACGATAGAGCTAGAGCTTAGATATTTGGCATGAAACATCTTCTAGTGGATGTCTATCAAGTTTGTTCAGGGTCAAAATTGGTCGTTGATTTTCATTAGATACATGTAAAAAATTAAGAAGTATTCTTGTAAAAAAAAGACAGAGGTTAGATATTTGGCATGAATCATTTTCTAGTGGATGTTTACCAAGTTTGTTCAAATTAAAGCCCTAGGGTCAAAATTGGCCCGGCCCCAGGGGTCATTGATTTTCCGTATATATTATACCAAACATCAAGAGGCTGTGATGAGTACTGAGAAAACTGTTACATTTGGCACCTGTGCAACCCAGCAAATCATTCATTGCTTTGTACTGGTTGGTTTCAGGAACGGATTCGAGGGTGTTTCAATAAGCTTCCAACACAATCAAACTAAGAAAATAAATTTGCATAAACTAACCCAGCAAAAAATCTACTTCTGTTCCTGCTATTTAGTGATGTATTAATGCGGTGGCATAGCATTATTTTCACAAGTACAATCTTGTTTATGTTTTCAAAAAGTAGATATTGCTTTAAAAGATAGAATTTGAAGTTTAATACAGCTATGTTATACAGTAAATACCATAGCATGGCATTTTTAGCTCAACTATTCGATAAGAATAAGTAGAGAGCTCTATACTAGCCACCCGGGCGTCGGTGTCAGTGTAATCACTTATGTTAAAGATTTTGTAATACCTCAAATATTTTCAAAGTCCATTGTCATATGGCTTTGAAACTTTGCACACTTGTTCACCATCATGACCCCAACCTGTAGACAGGAGGAGGTAACTGTATCAAGCATTTTGACAGAATTATGCCCCTTTTCCAACTTAGAATTTACTTTAAAGTTTGCGTACCATCTCAAATATTTTTAAAGTCCATTTGCATATGGCTTTGAAACTTTGCACACTTGTTCACCATCATGACCCCAACCTGTATACAGGAGGAGGTAACTCTATCAAGCATTTTGACAGAATTATGCCCCTTTTTAGACTTAAAATTTACGTTAAATTTGCGTACCACCTCAGATATTTCATATTTCATTGACATCTTGCCTTGAAACAAGTTGAAATTTTATATACCTTTTTGTGAGCATAATAGGACTTTCAAGCACTTAGAATACACGAGCCTGCTGTCCTACCGACAGCTCTTGTTTATAATTGCAATCTTGTTAGTTTGTTGTATTTTTTTTGCAGGAAGAATCATCTTCTCTTAGACTGCTTGTTATGTGCCTAATTGTAATTATAGTGTTGGCAGCAGGGCTGTATGGAAAATTACCAGTGTGGTGGTGTGGAATATATCGGAGTCGCAGAGTCATCAGTCTCCGAGCACTTAGTTCTACATTATCCATCAATTTATTCAGCATTCGATAATTTACATTCAGCTGCTTTGTATGTGCAATCATGAATATGATAGTAGTTTAGATTTTTGCTCTCATTAGAAGTTTAAAAAAAGAAATTTAAATATAATATTCACTGAATATATTAGGATTCATAAGTGTATTATATATATGACAATGTGATAAGACTGTTGTATGGAATATGATGCAATATTTATATTTGTAAGAATGAGGCTTTGTTGTTCAAATGACGAAATGGTGTAAGAAAGGAGCAAACATCTCCGGACTTAACCAATTGTTTCCCCGTGAAGCACACGCTTATGAATAATCTATTTTTGCGACGGACGCGACCTCAGGCGCATTCAGAGATATGTCATCGACACATGGGATTTCGTCGGCTATAATCGCACAAGTGTCCTCAACCGAATAACAACAGCCCAAGAAATAGTACATAAATTTGATCCTATAAAACTCCCATACTTTGTCGGGATATCTTAAATATTTCCATATTTAGCCTTTTTAATTTCAAATTTAGTTATCCAAGTTAAAATATAAACGTATTTGATTGATAAAATCACCATTACATAACCTGTGCTGACGATGTGCTCTAGCCTCTAAATCTTTACCTTGTAAATGAAAAAAAAATCTAAAAAAATACATCATTAATTGCTGATGGTTTTAACCAAAAATATTTTTAATGAGACATATCCAAGAGAAATAAAAATTAAAGTACTAATGACTTATATTTTATTGTCTATATGCCAACTATGATATAACACGAAGCAATTCTAATTAACATTCTCGCATGCTTGAAGTTTATTTGCATGGTTTTATTTTAGAAATATTTCGTTGACAGTTTATTTTCTTTTTGTGCCCCCACATTAGTGGCGGGCATTTAGATTTATCCTTCCGTCCGTCCGTTCTCTTTTGTGTCGCACGTAACTCAAGTTTTTGACCTAGAGTAATGAAACTTTACAAGAATGTTGATCAGCATGTGCTGTTGTGCACCTGGGTATTTTCGTGTGGATATTTTTAGTATTTTTAAGAGTAATTGCCCTTGACTTAGTAAAATTTTGCAATTTTTAACTTGTGTCGCATGTAACTCAAAAAGTATTTGGCCTAGAGTCATGAAACTTTACATGAATGTTGATCAGCATGTGTACTTGTGCACCAGGGTATTTTCGTCTGGATTTATTTAGTATTTTTAGATTTATTGCCTTTGACTTAGTAAAATTTTGCAATTTTCAACTTGTGTCGCATGTAACTCAAAAAGGCTTTGACATAGAGTTATGAAACTTTACAGGAATATTGAACAGCATGTGTAGCTGTGCACCTAGGTATTTTCGTCTAAATTTATTTAGTATTTTTAGAGGTATTGCCCTTGACTTAGAAATTTTTTGCAATTTTCAACTTGTGTCGCATGTAACTCAAAAAGGATTTGACATATAGTCTTTAAACCTTACGGGAAGGTTGCTCAGCATATTTAGTTTTTCACCTGGGGTTTCGCTTGTGGATTTATCCTGTATTTGTAGAGTTATTTCACTTGACGTAGTAAAAACCGTTTCATTATGTTGTTATTTGTTGCTTGAGTTAGAATCAACCAACTTTACAGGAATAATGATCAACATCACTAAATTACAGGAATAATGATTCACATCACTGTGAAGCTATGCACCTGGGACTTTGCATGTGGATATTTTTTAGTTTTGTTAGAGATATTGCCCTTAACTTACAGTAGTTTAAATTTGCAATTTTCAACTTGTTCATGCATAGCTCCAAAATTATTTGATTTGTAGGCCTGAAAGTTTACAAGAATGTTGGTCAGCATGTGTACTTATGCACCTTGGGGTTTGCTTGTGGATTTATTCAGTATTTGTAAAGTTCTTGCCCTTTACTTAGTAAAAGATTTTGTCTTCAAAAAATATTTGACATAAGATTGACAGAACAGTGGCGCGGTGGGGGCACCCGTGTCCTATGGACACATTTCTAGTTACAAATAAATCGATAAGGACACTGATTTACAAGTTTGACAAGAGTTTCGAGGCATAAATTTCATTCTGTATTTAAAAATGTGGACGTGTTCTGCTTAAAAGTAGAAAATCTGAATATCAGATTGTTACACCTATAATAGATTACTCTACAAATCTCGTACTTGTATGGAACAAATTGTCTGTGTTATAATTTTTTGTGTTTTTATTGTATGAAAAAGCCTTGCATGTCCGTCGCATTCAGCACTTTGATTAATTAACGGTCTCGCCTTTTCAATCTGGCCACCAGACTTACTCCTCGTCAATTTATCGTAAATCGTTTCAATAAACAACACCCCAGGTATATTCCTTCTAGTTTCCAAGACATATACATCCACCTATATGACTATCTTGTTACCCGAGCAAACAGTTTGTATCAAAGTAGAAATGTTGGTACATAGTAATGTTGGTACATAATGCTAGTGCCGTCTACATTAGACACGCTTATGAGAAAATAAGATAATATAGACAGTATGTTACAGAATATTAATATTATAGATTAGTCTGTGTGTGGTCAGAAAAGGAGTAAATGTTACGTGCGACTGACAAAAATGTAAATGAAGTCATGCATTGTTCACAAGATATGGTCTAGACACAATGAAATTAAAAATAAACTCTTGTTTAAATGTACAAAATTTTTAATAGAAATGAAAAAAACATTACTGTATGTGAATCTCGTTTTACGATTATATTTGCTTGAATAAAGAAGTTCCTGACTAACATCCAGATCAATGTCAGATAATATACATGTAGTACTGTTTTGACAGTTTTGAAAAGCAAAACGTGGGGGGTCGTTTCAAAGAAAATTCAAGGTTTTCTTTCTTTAACATCACTAGTTTAAGCTGTTTTGAAAACTACCTTTTGTTGTTCAGATAATATCTGCGATCAGAAAATACAAAACTCCTCGAGTTAACACAGTACTAGAGTGGGTTTGTTCCATTGGTACTGTTGTTTATATCTGCATGTGATCATATGCCTAAAATGCTACCGAATACATGTATCGTTATCAGAACAATGAATCTATATATAATTTACCATAAAAAAGTTTTTGAGCATTTGGAAATAAAAACACTTCAGTGTTTAAAATACTTATTGTTCAGTTTAAATCATTCCATGTTCTTACTATCACTTTTAATCAATACAACAATTCAACTTTTCCAAAATAAAGAGAAACCCTTCTGCTGTCCCTATAATGGATCATTGATAATATTTCTGTCTATTGAACACACATTTGTCAAAACTATCGATATGAATATTACAACTTTCAGAACACTAAGTTGCTGTCAATAACGAAAAGTCATATTTCTGAATGTTATTCAAGAAGTCTTCATCTTGCATTTTTAGCTCACCTGAGCTAACTCGGGGTGAGCTTTTAGGATTGTTGAATGTCCGTCATCCGTCCATACTAGCGGTCACATTTTTGCCTCAATCATTTTCAAACTTTGTCAGGATGCTTATCTAGGTAATAGCTCATATGAGTTCGAACATGGGTCATCTCGGATGAAAAGCTAGATCACAGGAGCTAAAAATAGAAAAACCTTGTTAACACTCTAGCGGTCATATTTTTGCCTCAATCATTATCAAACTTTGTAAGGATGCTTTTCTAGGTAATAGCTCGGATGAGTTCGAACATGGGTCATCTCGGATGAAAAACTAGGTCACAGGAGCTAAAAATAGAAAAACCTTGTTAACACTCCAGTGGTCACGTTTTTGACTCAATTATCATCAAACTTGGTCAGGATGCTTGTCTAGGTAATTGCTCAGATGAGTTTGAACATGGGTCATCTCAGATGAAAAACTAGGTCACAGGAGCTAAAAATAGAAAAATCTTGTTAACACTCTAGTGGCTACTGTTTTGATCCAAATATCCTGGAAATTGGTCTGAAAGTTTGTTTTGAGGATTTCTAGTTCAAGTTCGAACATGGGTCATCCGGGATGAAAAACTAGGTCACAGGAGCTAAAAATAGAAAAAAAATCTTGTTAACTCTCTAGTGGCTACTGTTCTGATCCAAATATCCTGGAAATTGGTCTGAAAGTTTGTTTTGATGATTTCTAGGTCAATTTCAAATATGGGTCACCTGGGGTCAAAAACTAGGTCACACTGATCAAATATGGATAATCCTTGTTGACACTCGAGTGGTCACAGTTTTGATGCACCTGTCATGAAACTTGGTCAGAATGCTTGTCTAGGTAATTGTTCGGATGAGTTCGATGGGTCAGGTGAGCGACCTAGGGCCATTATGGCCCTCTTGTTTTAAAATCGCACCATAAATATTCCATTGTTGAAATTTGAGCAGCCACGTGTTACTGTCATATGTTAAGTGCAATCACCAAATCATCAATTATTTGGCTCCGCGCCGAAGCGCGGCGCCCTTATGGAATGAAATCAGATTTTGTGAAAGGGCCACAGCAACTTCTCGAGCCTTTTAGTCGGTCACAATAAAAGCCGATCATTCCGATCGGTATGAGGGTGCTTGATTATCATTGTGTACACCGGTCTTACTGACCTGTGTGAAACCGCGCTAAGCATGATGGTAACGCACTACTTTTTACATGGCGGCTTGAACACCGAAGTGATAGAACAAATCGAAAATGGGGGAAGTTGAAAAATTAAACTTTTTCCATACTCTGTTGGCATAATAGCCATTACATCATTTTTACTCAAAACATGCACCAAACACTCTTCTGACAATCCTTTATTGGTTTTATTAACCCAGTTTCGTTCAACACCCGTGGTAGTATTTCGTCGATTGTTAGTTTAAATTAAAACCGAAAGTGAAAGTAGTTTTGAATATTTGAATTGGAACTATCAATATTGCACTTGCAATATTAAACTCTGGAAAAAAGTGATCCCTTGAAAGCAATAAACGATTTTAATCTCTCGAAAAGATATATTGTGGTTTGTAAAATAAAATTGTCATCCCTACGCGGACTTCTTTCTGTCGGAGTCATTTTTACCCTCATTTGGGGTGAGTAATGCGTCGTAAGACACAGGTCGATATTTGAGACCAGTGTGTATACAATGCTTGATTATTAATTAAGAATGAAATGTCGCGATATGTTACAATGAATAGCGAACTGGAGAATTTCGCAATGCAAACATTTTCAAATGAAATAACCTTTTCCGTCAATAAATCGCGCTCTTCGGGGTTTTTTATTTATCATTCTGTAGTACACAGTGGGTTATCATGGTATATGTACTTATTTTATTTAGGTTGTTTAAAAGAAAATTGTGTTTATCTTTTACCCAATAGGTGATGATTTAACCATATACTCTCAAAATTGTCAAGGGCTGGGAAATACTCAGAAACGTCGCGATATTTTTCATTATCTTAGGAAAAAAGATTATAATATTATATGTCTGCAGGATGTTCACATTGAAGAAAAGTTATGTTCCTTTGTTAAAAATGAATGGGGATATGATGCCTATTTTAGCCCATATAAACGTAATAGTAGAGGGGTAATGATTTTGTTTAGAAATAATTTTGAGCAAAAAGTAGAAAATGTATACAGTGACGAAAATGGAAATTATCTTATTCTTGATATGTTAATGCCGAACTTCAGACTTACTCTCGTTAATTTATATGGTCCAAATGATGATAAACCTGCTTTTTATGAAAATATTAAACAAAAAATATTTGAAATTGGTAATGATAACGTGATAATTTGCGGAGATTGGAATCTTGTTATTAATCCTTCAGTAGATTAT